GGCAGCCAGTGCTGCGGGGCAGGACAGTTTCACCAAAAAATATATATATATATATATTTTTCAAAAACACTCCTGTGCTCCCACCCACCCCCCCCAACACCCCATGCCCTTAAACCCCCCCTAGCACCCCCCGAAAGGGCCGTGACACGTTCGGACGGGAAGCGTCCGTATGCCCGTACGGGCGTCTGTACGTCTGTCCGGACGGCCCGTACGGGGACCCCCCGTATGACGTACGGGGGACGACACAGAAGACGATGTCGGTGACCTCATGAGCGCTAATGCGATAGTGGCACGGGACAAAGCGTGCATGCTTCGTGAAGCGATCGACGACGACCAAGATAGCATCATGACTGCGCTCAGTAGGTGGAAAAAGGAGACCAATGAAATCCATCGAGATGGACTGCCAACGACCCTTAGGTATGGGTAGGGGCTGAAGTAACACATACAAAAGGTGGTTCACACTGTTCACCTCCTGACAAATAAAACACTCCTGGATGTAGGCTTTGACGAAGTCCTTGGACTTCGGGCAGACGTATAGGCGGCAAACACGAGCCAACGTTTTGTGGAAGCTCATATGATCGACAACTGCCTGATCATGGAACTCTGCTACAGCTTGGACGCGGAGCTGTCTAGTGGAGGGAACACAGATACGTGGTTCTAGCTTACCAGATCTTTCATGCCAGTACACGAGACTGTTCTCACTGAGGGAGTACGAAAGAACGGTCTTGCCACTTCGCAGTGTCGCGTGACGCAATAATCCGGGATGTGGCGGTACTGAGTGCGATATGCATCGATCACCGATTGATCAACAGTGGTGATGGAGATGGCAGCAAGATAGATGGGTTCCTGATTGTGATCATGACGACGAGACAAGGCATCGGCAACGCGGTTCGTTTCACCCTTGATGGGTTGAGTGGTGAAACTGAACTCGGATAAATCACACCACTAGCGTGTCTGTCGAGGGGAAAGTTTGGGCTTCGTGAGGAAAGCTTGGACAACTGAGCTGTCTGTGTGAACTGTGAAGGGCGCCCCATGCAGATAATGACGCCAATGCCGGGTAACATAAACTATTGAGAGAACCTCACGTTCATCGGTAATGTAGTTTATCTTGGCAGGCAGTAGCTGACGGGAGTAGAAAGCGATCGGTCAATCCCCAACACGAGCCTCGACAGTCTCATCCTCTGTGATGGTCGGGGAGTAAGTAACGAGAGGACTGTCAGTGGAGGGAACTGGTGAGAGTATAGTCCTCTGTCGAGAAGCGGTATCAGTAGGAGGAGGGGGGGTGGGGAGAAGGAGGAACATGGGGATAAGGTAAATCATGAGGAGAAAGAAACAACTGAGAAAGTACAACTCCTACTGCAAAATATGACGCATCAGTGGTGACGATGAAGAGACGGTCAAAATCGGGGAGTTGAAGAACCCGCGCACAAGTCACCACCTTCTTGAGCGCGCGAAAGACATTCTCGTAGAGGGGTGTCAAAAACCACGATGGGTTCTTCCGGTGGAGGGTGGAGGTAAGGACGCAGAAATACCTAGTGTATCCCTGGATGAAATTACTACAGTAGCTAGTGAGGCCTAGGAAACTGCGAAGCTGTTTGGCGGATGTGGGGACGGGTCACTCTGCAATAGCAGTGTTCTTCGCGTCGTCCATCTGGAGACTCTGGTCAAACACATGGTGTCCAAGGAAGTTCACTTTGTGCTTGGCAAGGCGACACTTACTAAGCTTGGCATAAAAGTCATGGTTGCATAAGTGGTGTAGGACATCACAGAGGTGTCTGAGATGGTCTTCTAAGGTACGACTGTAGACCAAAATTTCGTCTAGGTATACGAAAATATATTATTCAAGGATGTCCTTGAACAGATCGCTCATCGTCGTCTGGAAGGTGACAGGTGCATTGGTGAGGCTGAATGGCATCACCGTGAACTCGTTGTGGTCGAAGCACGACTAAAAGACGGTCTTCGACTGGTCCTTTGTGACCACGCGGATTTGGTGGTAACCGCTACGAAGATCGATCTTTGTGAAGAAGCAGTTGTCCGCCACATGGTCAAACAACTCCTCCGCATGAGGCATGGGATAGTTGTTCTTAACCGTGTAACGGTTAAGGCCGCGGTAGTCAATACAGAGGTGAAGAGTTTCGTCCGCTTTACAAATAAAGCGGACAGATACACCCCAAGGGGATTTACTAGGTTTAATGAAACCCTGTCGAAGGAGCGCCTTAAGCTAATGCTTGAGTTCCGTCGCCTCTAGAATCGATAGTCGGTAGGGTGTCTGATGGTGCACGCGATAGTCAAGCACGAGCTAGATAAAATGTTTAACACCGCGCATGAGAGAGATCCCGCTGTATGAGAAATACGGGGGGAAAACGTCGCGGTACTCTCGAATCAAATCACGAACGGCGGACTCTAAGTCGGTCATGAACCGCATGAGTTTCTCAATATCTGCGTCTGCACGAGACGTATGGGTGGACTCGGCAGTGAATGGCATAGGGACCTGAGACGTCGAGGGGCTATCCGCAGGCTGAGGGGTGGATGTAGAGATAGAAGTCATTGAGGTGCAGGAAGGGTTAGGGCGATCAGACTCCAAGGAGATGAGCTCAACCTTGGGACAGAGTGGATCATAGCGAAGAAGATCCATGGCGTTCACTGAGTAGAATGTGACGTCCTCTTGTCGTATGAAGTGAACAAACCGACAAAAAGAAGTGAAGGTTCCTAGGGAGATAGGTCGGGAGGGCTGTCGCCCGTGGTTTCAATGAAGGGGACTCGATGGGTCTGACCACACTTCGTTTTGACAATGAGTGTCTCGGCCTCCCATTCGGCCTCTGTGCCACGCAATCGGCGAGACCAAGGAGTGCCAAGGATACAGTCGTACCCAGTCTCCTGCACCTCGAAGTGCGGAGGAATGGTAGTGCCGAGGCGCCTGGGTACTATTCGGTGGTTGTAAGGTGAGGGAAAAGTGGAGGTCGAGGACCGGCTGATCGAAGAAGCACTGCGTCTTGTTATCTTCGAGGGTAACGGAGATAGGAGAGCGAGACCCGGAGGTACTAGTTAGACGAGCTGACAAAGTCTCCCTGCGAGCCGGAGTCCCATAAAGTGCGGTACACCCTCATAAATGTCCCCAAGCGGATCAGAATGATGAGTAGGGTGCGATTAGGGTCAGAGAGCAGAGTGAGAAGACGACGCATCATGTTTATGTGTCTCGTGAGTCGTTCCTAACGAGCTTGAAGAATGCTCAAGTCAAGGAGAGATGACACAACGTCATCGCCAATCATCAGTTGAGCACTACAACGAGTTGTGCGAATGACGTGACGCATCGGAAGTCTCGAAGTGGAAGAACTAGATGCGGCGGTTTGCTGTGGGGCAAACAGTACCTCGACCGACGGTGGGGCAGAGGGAACTGCGTCTGTCGTGTCCTGAGGATCCTTTGGTGGGGTAACCAAAGGGGCAAACCGCGACTTCGTGCTGTGGGGCAGACGGTATCTCGACAGACGGTGGGGCAGAGGGAACTGCGTCTGTCGTGTCTTGAGGATCCTTTGGTGGGGTAGCCAAAGGGGCAAACTGCGACTTGGTGGTCGGAAAACCTGCTACGTGCGAGGCCTCAGCGGTACACTGCACTGTGGCTAGCTGGATGGGGTTGGTCGGTCGCGGCGGGGGAGGGACTGAGATCGGCGCTGACGAGAAATGTCAGCGTAGTGCCGATCGAGGGCAGCATGGTATCCACACTGTGAGGGGGTGTGTCCATCCTGACCGTAACGAAGGCAACCGCGGCGGGCCTCGGGGGTGGCGCGCTCCTCAGGGAATAAAGCTCCACGAGGAGGGACGAAACCCTGCGGGAGGTCTATCTGAGGGACGACGAACGTGCGGGCGCCAGCTTGAGTAA